ACAGCAGTTTAACCACTGCGCCACGAGCTAAATAAGGAGCTAAATATGTTCACATAAATAGTTGGTTATCAGACAAACATGCAGACATTACTTTGAAAACAGGCTTCTAGTTTTTCATAGAATCCTAGGATACAGGAGTTGGAAGGGGCCTATAGGGCCATCAAGTTTAAATCCAGGTCAGTGCAGTAATCCAAATCAAAGCCCATTCAACGGATGGTTGTTCCATTTTTTTCTTGAATGCCTCCAGTGTTGGAATCCAAATCAAAGCCCATTCAACGAATGGTTGTTTCATTTTTTCTTGAATGCCTCCAGTATTGGAGTGCTCACTACCTCCTGAGTAATGGGTTCCATTGTCATACTTCTCTAACATTTCCTGCTATTCAGCCTAAAACTGGCTTCCCTCTAACATTTCCAGCCTAAACCTGGCTTCCTGTAGCTTTCTTTTTGCTTGTGAGAGGTTGCTTGGTACAGTTACCAATTTGAAATGAGTCCCTGGAGAAAATGGCTCCCTCTTTGTAATGAAAAACGTATAAGTATTTGCCAATTGCACAAGTGTTTTCCTGTCATCCTTCCTTGGTGGCTTCCTCTTGTAAGCAAACTAAGCCCACCTACTATACCTTTACAGGTATACTTAGCACCTAGGCTACAGTGTGAAGGAAGTAGGGAAAAAAACTTATATTTATTTTAGAAGGGGCAAAAAAATGCACACAGGTACGATGAGGTGACCAGCTAAGCATACACCACCAGGCAATGGATGGGCAGTTTATATTTATTAGAGGGCTTTACGAGATAGATAGATAGATAGATAGATAGATAGATAGATAGATAGATAGATAGATAGATAGATAGATAGATAGATAGATAGATAGATAGATAGACAGACAGACAGACAGACAGACAGACAGACAGACAGACAGACAGACAGACAGACAGACAGACAGACAGACAGACAGACAGACAGACAGACACCCCTCTTTCCTCCTTGAAGGACCCAAATGTGATTCCCAATGTGGTGTATTGGACAAAGCGATGGACTAGGACTCTGGCGTACAGGGTTCTAATCCCCACTTAGCCATGGAAACTTACTGGGGGGGTAGAACTGGTAAAATCACTCCTTCAATATCTCACTTACCTTGAAAGCCCTATTAGGGTTGCTATTAAGTCAGTTTTGACTTGACAGCACAGAAGAAATATATATTAATAGCAATCATGTGCCATCAAGAAAATTCTGACTTATGGCAACCGTTTTATAGGGTTTTTAAGATCAATAAAACTCAGATATGGTTTACAATTGCATTTCTGGGACCACCCAGCTTGCCCAAGGCTACACAGGCTGGCTCTACTCGCAGGAGCCCCAGGAAGAAAACTGAGCTCCCGGCCTCTGGCTCTTCAACCAGATTCCTAAACCACTGAGTTATCCAAAAGCCTCTGGCTCTTCAGCCAGATTCCTAAACCACTGAGTTATCCAAACAGCTGGAGGCAAAAGAAAATGAGTTAGAATGACAATACAGTGGTGCCTCGCTTAGCAATTGCCTCGTTTAACAATGTATTCGCTTAGCGATGAGGTTTTTGGAGCAATTTTGCGCTCCATTTAATGATGTTTCCTATGGGGAAATTCAAATAGCGATGTTCGGGACCTTGCCTCGCTTAGCGATGACAGTTTTAGGTCCCCTTTTCGCTTA